CAGCACTGCGTGCTGGTTCATATTGAAAGGTTAAAAAATCCACTTAAATTTGTAATTGTATGGTAACACAATAAAAAAAGATTACTGTGATAAATGCTTATGCTATAAAAGCTGAGAAAATCTTAAAGTTTAGTGTTTTGTTTTAACTTTCTCAGACCTCTCCAGTTCATGTCCCGTCCATCGACGTCTTGTCCCTCGGTCCATCCTATGAACTCTTCCCGCTGCAGGGAGTCGGTCTCGTGATCACCATGGCTTCCACAGCTTTGCTGCTGCTCTGCTTCTCCTTCTCGTTTTCCCTCACAGGTAAACACCACATCACCTGCCCTCTCTCAATYATGGTGGAATAATTTATTCACGTGAAAACATTTCTCCTTTGTTAGTGGCCATCTTGTTTGGTGAGCCCCRAATATTCGGAGGTGAGTTCAGTTCCTTGAAAGAGAATTTAAAAGATACCCCTTTTTGGAGATGAATGAAAAATAACATTTGAGTTGTTTTTAAATTGTACCAGATGATGCTACTGGTTATGGCCCCATATTTGAAGAAGAGCCTGTGGATGTGGTCTACACTGAGGACTCGCCTGATAAGAGAATCTCCATAAACTGCCGGGCTCGAGCCAACCCACCAGCTTCATACAGGTGAGGAAACCCGCGCGACTCTTCGAAATATCTTCACTTGTTTTGTTCGATTGCCTCAGTTGTGTTTTTACAATAGGTGGCGCCGGGATAACTGGGAAATCAAGCTGAAGGAGCAACCAGATGAGCACTACAGTCTGGTCGGAGGGAACCTGGTGATCACTAATCCCATCCACAAGAAGCACGCCGGCACGTATACGTGCGTGGCCAAGAACATCTACGGCACCGTCCTCAGCAAGGAGGCCAGGGTCAAGTTTGGATGTGAGCGCAGACCGAGCAGCGGAGCCAATAAGAAAGATTTTAGATGAAGTGATGTTCTGTTTATACCTGTGTGAAAGTTTGGCTACACTGTTTTTGTTTCTCTTCGTGTAGTTATAGAAGAGTTTCCTGATGAGGAGAGAGAACCAGTGTATGTGAAGGAAGGACAGGGGGCCGTTCTGTTGTGTGTCCCTCCAAAAGTCTGGCCACGTAAGGACACAAGTTTCCTCTCTCCGTTAGTCTTTAAAGGGATCCCTGATTAGTTGTAACATTAGACTTTATTTGATACACATTTATTTTAACTGTAAAATAAAGACTAAAAATACTGTAGACTGTTTAGTTTTTATAATTTTTAAACTAAAAGTTTAAAAATATATAGCACGGACAGGGCCATTTTATTTACACGCAAAGCATTCTGGGTAAATGATAACGTGGATAGGTCCTCGGTACGAAGCTGCTAGCGAGCTATATCCACCCTGAAGGTTAATCTTAGACAATATCTGACGATTGACTATTAGAGCGTTAGAGAGAGAGAAGAAGTTAGAAATGACAGCCTGCAATTGAAAATATGGATGGCAGACCTCAGTGTAGCTTGTTTGTCGCGCTCGCACCAAGCTAATACATATAAAGCAATATAGCGTCGGTGCTAGCGCAAAAACTAACAGGCTAAGCYGAGGTTCTTCTTCCATGAAGCAGCTCTGTTGTCCTCCATCCATATTTTCAGTTMCAGGCTGAGTCATTTCTACCTTCTCCTCTCTGTCAACGCTCTCTGGTTTCATTTAAAAGAGTCGATCATCAGATATTGTCCAAGATTAACCTTCAGGGTGGATATAGCTCGCTCACACCGAGGACCTATCCACGTCATCATTTACCCAGAATGCTTTGCGTGTAAATAAAATGGCTCTGTCCGTGTAATATATTTTTAAACTTTTAGTTTAAAATGATAAAAACTAAACAGCCTACAGTATTTCTACTGTCTTTATTTTACAGTTAAAATAAATTTTTATCAAATATAGTCTCATGTTACAACTAATCRGGGATCCATTTAAAAATAAGCCCATCGTGATGAGCAATAAACCAATTAATCTATTGATAATTTTTCTCTGTAAGCTTTGTAAGTAAGATGGTTGCCAACTGATACTATCACAATATTTTCTCAGACAATTTATTGTCCAGGTGTATTTAAAAATCAAATTTCACTTTTTTTCCTTCCCTTTTCAGAGGAAGTGACATATCAGTGGATCTACAAYGAGTTTCCAGTCTTCCTGCGCACGGACCGCCGTCGGTTTGTCTCCCAGAAGACGGGAAACCTGTACATCGCCAAGGTGGAAGCTCAGGATGCAGGGAACTACTCGTGCTTCGTTTCCAGTCCCGTCTTGGGGAAGAGCGTCTACTCCAAATTCATCCCTCTCATCCCTCTGCCCCCTGATGACGGTCAGTCACCGGGAGCTGCAGCTGAACGACACAAAACATAGTCTTTTTACTTTATCTTTTTTTTTTTTGTTGGCTCAGGTGAGGAAAGAAAATACCCAGCAGACATCAGGGTGAAGTTCCCGGACACAACAGCCATGCTGGCTTCCAACATCACCTTAGAGTGCTTTGCTCTTGGAAAGTAAGTTTTATCAATTTAGTTAGTGTTTCTTTGTTAAAGCTGTTGCTCAGCTATCGTGTGCTCAGTCCCATCCCGCACATCGTATGGAGGAAAGTGGACGCCACCGACCTCCCGGCGAATCATGAAATCAGCGAATCAGGCGCCGTGCTCCATCTGTACAATGTTCAGTACGAAGATGTGGGTGCGTACGACTGCGAGGCCATCAACACTAAAGGGAAGGACTGGCACAAGGCTTGGCTCTATGTGGAGGGTAAGTGAAGCTAATGGTGGGCATTTCAGAATATTATCTGGAATGGRCAGCGCGTGACRCTTGTTTGTTTTKTAGCTGCACCGGAGTGGGCGGAGACTATCAACAACACTCAGGTGGACATCGGTTCTGAACATACGATGCGTTGTGTCGCTGCAGGAAAACCCTTCCCCTTCATCCGCTGGTACAAAGATGGTTATATGGTGAAAAATCTTTTCTATTAGAAAACATTTACATGTTTTGAGATACTGACCTGCTTCGGATGTTATCACCCATTAAATGGATGTTATTAGTCAAATGCAGGCTCATAGAATGGCTTCAGAATGTCCCGAATGTTGCTCCTACTCCTAGTGGGTTCTCCATCCCATAGAATGGACTGATAACATCAGAACCAGCTGGTTAGTAWGAGGCATAAAGCCACTAAGGTTTTTATGCAATCTGGTTAATATGAGGCATAAAACCACTAAGGTTAATATGATGCATAAAGCCAGTAAGGTTAATTTTAGAGAAAATGGTCATGACCTTTGATAAAGAAGACCAGTGTTGCACGCCCAACGTAGGGCAATGGTAGAGCGCCAGACCAGAGAGTGGGAGAGCCAGGATTGAGACCAGGCATGGGCAGCAAGAAAACCATGCCCCCCCCCCACACCCACCCCAGACAAAAAAATAATTAAAATGTGTTTTGGTTATTTACTCAGTCAATTTCATTGATATATTAACCCACTAGGGGGCACCGTCGGGACAGACTGAAGTCACTCTATGGGACTGATAACCGCTAATAACGTCCATTTCATGGACTGATTCTTAAATGTTTTACTCAGTGTACTAATGTCTTCTGTGTTCTTTAGTATGGGAAAGGTGAGTTGAAGTTCTCCAGTCTGACATTTGACGACTCTGGGATGTACCAGTGCATCGCCGAAAACGTTTGGGGCATCAAATACGCCAACGCAGAGCTGCGAGTCATCGGTGAGCTCTTGCACAACCCAAATATCCTATAAAATGCTTGGCACGTGCTAAAACCCCGCCCGCAATCTGCCCCCCTAGCCTGCGCGCCCACTTTTGAGCTCAACCCCGTGAAGAAGCAGCTTCTCGGAGCCAACGACGCCCGCGTGGTTATAGAGTGCAAACCCAGAGCCGCTCCCAGACCTCGATTCACCTGGACRAAGGGCAAGGAGCTGCTTTTCAACAGCTCGCGGTCAGGATGGTTCTTATGAAATGACAAACGTCTTCAAAATTCCAGCGGATTTAACTCGATTTCTTTTGTTTTCAGCATTTCCATCATGTTTGATGGCAGTCTGGAGATCCTCAATGCCACCAGGAATGATGAGGGTTTATACACTTGCTTTGCTGAGAACGACAGAGGAAAGGCCAACAGCTCAGGTTACCTCACCATCACAGGTAAGTGTGAGTGTACCACTTCTAATGAAAAGGCAACCCAAACCTGAAGTTTTCATTAAATAAATTAAATAATGTGTAACTAATTTGTTTAGAGGCTACCAGCATCACAGTAGCTCCTGAGGATTCTGAGGGAAAAGTTGGAGATGAGGTGATTCTCAGGTGTGCTGCTTCCTTTGACCCCATGCTGGACATCACATTCATCTGGACCATAGACTTCAGAGTCATCGACTTTAACACTGAGTGGCAGCACTATGAACGAGTTATGGTAAAGAGATACTTCATCGTTATTATTATTTTTTAAAGAAACAACATTCTCTTCAAAATGCAACCCCAATTAAAAAAGTGGAAAGTTGGGAGTCTATAAAATGTGTAAAATGCAGTGAAATTTCATATCTACACATTTTATTCCCAATGGAACATTAAATGTAGTAAATGTACTTTTTATTTGCAAAAAAATAAAATGTTGGAGTTGATGACAGTGACACATCTTAAAAATCATTAGAATAGGGACATGCTTTACCAATCACTGCATTCTGTTTGTACACCTGACACAACTTTTCCGGAGCTGTACTTTAGAACTAGTTGTCCTCTAAGCCTGCATCACGTCCTTCTGCTTCTCGTTGGTCAGAGTGAAGACGGAGTTGGTGACTTGCGCATAAAGAATGTCCAGATTTGGCACGAAGGTCGTTACACCTGCACAGCTCAGACGGTGGTGGACAGCGACACTGCTTATGCTGACCTCAAAGTTGTAGGTTTGTACTGATGGCTTCAAATAACTGCTTCATGTGAATAAATATCATTTTTGGTGGAGAGGCTTTCACCTCATGAGGTTTTTACATTAAGAACTATTAAAACGTTCCAGCCTTTTATTTTATTGCCCAAAAAGTGTACTGTTGAAAAAGTCAAATAAGTCTTGTTTATAGTAGTTTTAAGTGGTTTAATCTCATAATTGCACTTTTTTGATGCGATTTGAATCTAAGGTGTTCCTGGGCCTCCCGGTGTGATCCGGGTGGAAGAGATTGGGGACACGTGGGTTAAGCTTTTGTGGTCCAAAGGAGCGGACCACAACAGTCCCATCCTCTAYTACACCATCCAGACCAGACACTTCTGGGCTCTGAATGAAGACGACTGGAGGAATGCCAGCACCTGTGAGTATTTTCAACCAGCAGGGGGACATGTTGCTCCACAGATGTTCTTCTTTTAGAATTTAAATGGTCTGCTTTTGCAGCTCCAACTGTTCTCGATGCTACTATRGAAAGAGCAGACGTAACAGACTTGTATCCTTGGATGGAGTACCAGTTCAGGATCATTGCTACCAATGAGTATGGATCTGGAGAAGCCAGCATACCTTCACTCAAGATCAAAACCTGGGACGCTGGTAAGGACACTGAAAACAACACTTGTTTCATGCAGAGGTGGTTATAAACCAATAATAAACTGTATTTCCCTGCAGCTCCAGTTGTTTCTCCCACTGATGTAGCAGGATATGGAGGTAGAAATGGTGAGATAATCATCACATGGACTGTAAGTGTCTTACCTGCATCTCTCATTTACAAATTTWTCTTAGCTCGTCTTTAATTTGACATTTCCACCTGTGCCCCTCAGCCTGTGCAGCCCTGGTATTTCTACGGCAAAAAGTTTGGATACATTGTYGCGTTCAAGCCTCATGATGCCTACGACTGGTGGTACGAGACCATCTCGGACCCCGAGACGAGACGGCACGTGCACAGAGATACCTACTTTGTTCCCACTGAGGAGGACTTCCAGGTGCGAGAGTTTCAGGTGAAGATCAAGTCGTTTAATTTGAAGGGAGACGGACCGTACAGCCTCACCAAGGTCATCTACTACCCAAGAGATGGTAAGAATCTTACCTTTTAAATGGGGAACTTCACTCGTGATGTCACGCATATCGTTTGCGTACATTATCCGCCGCGCTCGCAAATGATCGGACAATTGGAGTGGAATCTAAGGTTAATACCTTAACAGAAAAAGACGTWTTTACACACATMCGACTTCAGGAATCACAGRAAAGTTCATTTGAAAGGTGGGCTCGAAGGTCGAGGTCTTCGACAGATTTGGAAAGCGAGTGGAATTATTAAAAAGGTTGGTGTTTTTACTGATGTCTTATAGCTTAGTTTGCCACATCTATTATGTGCGCGTGTATTTTTATCTCTGGAGCCACTGTTTCTAYGCTGGACTGACTGCAGTAGACCCTGGAAGTAGAGCCCTGTATATGACMGAGGCTAGCATAGATGCTARGAGTAAAGCTAGCAGTAGGCTACAGTAAATCTGGGATCTGGTTGGTCCAGTGTTGGCATTTTACCTTCGATTTAAATGTTTTAGAGCAGACAGTAAGTCCAAGATTTTTTTCAGTCAAATTCTAATTGTCCTATCGCTGGAATCCAGCTGTTAGCCTAGCATTTTAGCTTGGGAATAGTGACAAAAATACTTGTTCGATATGGAGATGACGGCTGTATCCTGAGTGTTATGAGCAATGTAGCACAATGTTTTGTGGAGGTGGAGTTTGATGGAATTTTCCCAAATAAATTTAAGTTGAAACAGCTAAACCGTTGTGGCTCCATTGAAATCAATAAAGCGGCTACGAGTTTGTACGCTCATCAGTCTCGTGCGGACATAATCATGTGACTAGTGTTCTAAAAATATCCTGAGTGAAGGTCCCCATTTACATTCACATGAGCACATTTTCAGGATCGTAATTGACCAACCTTTTCTCGCGTGTTTCTTTTAAATCACGCAGTACCCACAGAACCTCCAACAGATGTTTACGCCAGGCCCGTGTCTTCCACTGAAGCTGTGGTTTGGTGGCTGCCGGTGTTTGACACTGGAACAGGTCTACAGCAGTATGTTGAGGGGTACCAGGTACAAATTTGTCAAGAAAATATATTTTACGTAAGACTTGACAGGTGTTAATTTACACAAACATTTAATTATTATATTTTTTACTACTTAAATTTGCAAAAAGGTTTAGCATACCTTAAATAAAATACCCACAAAAATTATTATTGTTCCAAAAACAATTTTTAATTAAACTGTTATTTGCCAACCAGGTCAAATACTGGAGGAAGTACGATGACCCAGAGCCAGGAGCCAATCGTATATTTGTTCCAGCAACAGCTAATCAGACCAGGCTGGAGAACATGCTGCCAGACTCGCACTACCTCATCGAGGTCCGTGCCTTGAATGGAGCAGGACTAGGACCACCTGGTGAACTYTGTGAGATGTTCACTAAGAGACCACGTAAGACTAAAATGAATGCTAGTAAATGAGACATGTTATCAAAAAGTACACAAAGGCTCATTAGGTTTATCTCCACAGCCCCCGCAGATCCTCCCAGGATGTGGCGCTACATCAGCTGGACAGGAAAGTGGCTGTATGTGTGGTGGGATCACATCCAGTACGACTGGTTTGGAGACGTTTCCTTCCCTCTGTACTACAAGGTAGATAAAAACCAAAATGAGACACGTTTCTCAGGCTTGTAGGATTTAAAAAATTTTTTTTCTTGTTTGTCAGGTGATGTTCAGAAAGACTGGCTACATCTACGGGAAGGTCTACATCACCGGCTGGCACTTCATGGACTTCCCCATGCCGCAGCTCGGAGACTTTGAGCTGATGGTCCGTGGCCGTTACGAAGGAGGAGATGGCCCAGTCCGCAAGATCAGGATTCAGGGTAAGGCTAAAATAAATTAGTGACCTTATCAGTATTGGTCAACAATATGTATTTTCACGTTTTTCTTTTCTTTTTTTTTTCCAGGTACAGCATCTATAACCACCCCTACTTCAAGCCTTGTGTTATTCATGCTGCTGACATGGTGCATCGTGGGACTGTAAACTCAAACCTGATGCCRAGGGTCTTGTATATAATGAACTTGATGAACCTAATGGAAGATATGGAAATGGTGATGAGTTTTCAGATTAACAATCAGTTAAAATCCAACATAATGCATCTTAATAGAAATTATGTTACACTAAATATTCTTGTTTCTCACAGTAGAACTGGTTATTTATGGATTTATGCACCAATGAAGCAGGATCTGTGAGTCAAGCTAAATGCTTATAGAAACTGTTGGATAAATTTATTTTTTAAATGAATCACTGTTTAGAAAGTACTGTTCAGAAATACTTGTTTTATGTTGCGAAGAACTTTGTTCAGAAAGCATTCATGTTTAGGAATGCAATGGGTTTGGTTCGTAAATTATTATTATTATTTTAGTATAGATACAAAATGTTTTGTCTGTCAACAATTTTGCAAATTTTTTTAAGGATGCTGTATCTATATCACAATGTCAAATAGAAATAAAACGGCTTTTCACAAAAGCCATTCGTTGTCACATACTTTTTCCTAATGAAGTCTGAGGCCTGATTTAATGATGATGCAATGAAGTTTTTTTTTTAATGTGACAAAGCCTTTACATAAAGTAAGACAAAAACTGACTTATTAAGTTGTTAAGTTCTTTCTCAATAGTGATCTCCCCTCATTAGATCACTGGCCACATGGTTACATCAACATCACAAAATTTCTCTGCTGTCGTCAGTGCATCAAATTGAACAAATTAGAAACAAGACCTTTTTGTTTTTGTTTGAATGTAATAAAAAGTGTTTTTAAATTTCTGCCGCTGAGCTTGATTAGGAAATAAAAATGTAAAAGTGATTCAGAGGAAACTTGATGTTTCCAACAGGCTGGTGGACTCTGAAGGACTGAAGCACTTCATGTCCAGAAGGTCTAAAATCAGTCCTCAGTCTGTTCTCTGCAGCTCAATCTTCAGCTTCACCTTAGATCTTTTTTTTTTCTTTTCCGTTCTTCACTTTTGTAAAAACCTTTAAATTGTAGAAGATAAATGTCCACGGACAGCTATATAATTTGTAATGAGTGATTGAGCAGAGGGATAGGAAAGAGACAGTAGATCAACAAATTGCACACTCAAGCCCTGATCCTTCCAGTTGTAGTTGATTTTTTTCCCACTTTTTTTAAACTAAAAGAAGTGAGACGCCTCCTGCACCACACACTCGTTCTACTTGTTATGCCTTTTAAAAAACTTGTCTTTTATTTTGGGATTTTTGGGAGTTGGAACATCTTGACGACTCGAGGACTGGAAGTTTGAGAGAAAAACCTTCATTGGAGCCACAGATGAAAAGGTCAGCTTTTATTTCCACTTAACTTCAGTAAAGTTACTTATTTCTTGAATGTTTCAGACTCAGTTTTAAAAAATTAAGTTTAAAAATATTCATTTAAGAACACAGCTGGGTAACAATATCCATTGATTAAATAAATCATATGTATGCATTTTAATACACAAAAACTATAGTTAAAAAAACCCCAAAGAAACTAAGTTTTTTTTGCATATTTTATTAACACCAAACATGAAAAAAAAAAAAAACTTAGCAATAACATTTAGTGGAAGGCATCTAAAATGAGTCCAGCTTACAAAAAATACCACATACTATAGTAAATTGTCTAAAATTACCAAAAATACCACATATTGTTTTAGCAATGACAGATTAAACAATACTTTTTATTTTTATTAGGAACTTTTATGATTGATTCCTTATTCCTATACAGGTTTAGTGGGTTGAAGGACAAACTGACTCAATTTTTTCATTTTGCTGCTGTTTTTAGTCACTCTCCTATGTATTTTTTTTTTCTGCATGGCCTTCAGAGGAGTCGAACACTTTTTGCTCTCTGTCCCGAACCTGCCCCTTCTTCCCTGCTTTGCAGCTTTTTCAAGCCTTTCTTCTACCTATCATCCGAAAACAAAAGGAATTATGGATTTGGTCAACTGGTCTCTGAACGCAATTGGCACCATTTTTTTCTACACTGAGGTTGGAGCGAGGGGAGCGCAGCTGTCCTAGTGGAATGGTGGTGACCGGGCGAGTGACTGGTTCTTGGGGTGGAACTTCATCTTTTTGGCGCCGCTTTCCATTGAAGACATGGAAGATTTGTACATATTTGGATTTATGATAACTGGATTCCTGCTGATCGRCTGTGGAGGAGTCCTGGCTTATCGGAAAATGAGAGTGATCCTGACAGCAGTCCGGGCCTGTGAGAAGCTGTCAGGAGCCTTGGATGGAGTCTTCCGTACTGGAAACACACAGACTGAAATGTTGGGGGATATAAGTTGCAAACTGGACGTGATTCTGACGAGAATCACAGTCGGAAAGAGAGGCGAGGAAGTAATGAATTTGGAACATTGGCTTTTTTGCCATTACAGAGATGCAGTTACAGACTAAAAGCAGTGAGAAAATCAAGGCTGCTTGCCCCAAAACAATTATGTTTATCTTTTGGATCCCTGCAGCTGCTGACCTTGGCTCTGCAGCTATCAAAACTCCCTGGATGACACGTGAAACAGAGGCTTGACTTCCCATCCCCTTCCTGTATCATCTGTGAATGGATCAGTCTGAAGGTCATGATGGGTGGAGACAGAGAACTGAACTATGGTGATTTGTGCTACAACTTGTTTTGGACTCTGGAGGTCTTTGATTGGTTCCAGCATGGAGTATTAACCTTAAACGTCACTGGCTCTGCAGCATCCTACCCCGTACCATGTGTTTGACCCCCAGCCCCCTCCCTTCCTTAGCTGCCTTGCACTGTGCGAGTGATTTTTTTGAGCGTATGATTCTGTGTTTCTGTCTGTGTAAACTTAGGATCAGAGCATCTTTTTTTTAACTCATCTGTCCTATTGTGTGTATTCCAAGCTGCAAAAGGTAGCGCAGCCATGTTGCAAATGACCTGAAACATCTGTTCTCCCCAATGTTTGTTATGTGTGTGTAATAAGAATGGGTGTTCTTAAGTGCAAGTTCCTAGTCTGTGTTTATCACTGACAATGGCAATAAAACTGATTCTGATGTTTGTTGTAATTATTTTTATCAACATGTTTTTTGGTCCCTCTTCCAAAGGAAGGTGCACCTGGACCTGTCCTTCAGTCCTTTATATTTGCCAGGCTAATAGTTTTCTGCTCTAAAATATTTTTTGTCTGGATTCTTCCACTTCCTGTTTGACAGTCAGATCTATATGGGCAATGACACTTTAATAAAATCATTGAGTTAGACTCTAAAATCTCATCAAACTGAATGAATGGTAGTGTAAATCCTTTAAGTTGGGGGAGAAAGTCCAGTGATGAAGTCACATGACTGTAATGCAGCAAGATCACAATACAAATCCTAGAGCCACCTTTGTGACACAGTGTAACCAGGTTTAATATTTTTATATTGTACGAAACATACTGAGACTTTAAGGCTTGCCGATAAACATGAGAAGATTTATTCTATGCTGGCTGATTTATCAATGCTTCTGTAATTTCTTCACTTTTGACCTAATTGGCCAAACTTGGTGATTGAGAGCTGGTAGGCAGCCCAGTGGGTTTATTCTTGGCTGTTGGTGCATGAATGATCTGGGGTGCCAGGGTTCAATTCTCAGTATGAAACTTTGGTAAAACAATGTTAAAAACTTAGTATGTTTTTGAAACATTTCTTCACTTTCACTTGGGTAATTGGCTAAACTTAGGGAAGTAAAACCATCAAATGAGAGCTGTTAGGCAGTCCAGTGGGTTAATCCTGTTTATGCATGAATGACCAGGGTTCAAATCACAAACACCAACTCTGGTAACACAATGTGAAAAAATGTAGTAAGCAAATTTTTTCAAAGATTTCTTCACTTTCACTCAGGTAATTGGACATACTTAGGGAAGTAAATCCATCAAATGAGTACTTGTAGGCAGCTCAATGGGTTAATTCATGGCTGTTAGAGCATGAATGATCAGGCATGCCAGGGTTCAAATCCCAGCACCAACTTTGGAAAAACTTAGTTTGTGCAGTTTTGAAAGATTTCTT